AAAATATTTTTTTAGTATTAAATGGTTAGATTAGGTATAAGATTAAAAAATCTTTTTATCGATCTACTCGGTGACTGGAGTCTAATAAAATCTAATAAGTTATGATATACGAGTATAATATACAGATAAATCTGATACAATTATTGCTAACATAATGTAAATACGATTCAATCAATTTATTGAACCAAAAGAATAAATTTGATTAGTTATCGATAGATATCACACATTTTAGTAAACATATTGATAGTTATGACTAGGGCCCGAAATTGTATGCATATGCATATTTTTATATATTAAACTAAAAAGTAACTAGATAAGACAAAAATTTGAATCTTAATATAATATGTTGGTATGCGAAATTAAATTTGGCATATTTTTGCATATTTGGTACATTTCAAATTATTATGCATATTTTAGCATTTTTCTGAAATATAATTCATACATATTAAAAAAAAAAAACAAAGTTATATTATTATTATTATTCTGTGTATAAACTAAAACCGTCGTACTATATTAATAAAATAACGGGACTTCAGGCGGCGGGAACGCACAACACATGTGCCGTATCAATTTACGTATCAAAGATACAGAAATTATATTAATTAATGGTATAATAAAAAATACAAAAATTAATGACAAAAAAAGGTGACTTTATTTTTTACTTTGTATTGATATATCAATCAGATATTAAATTATAGTTTATATATCGAATATAATGTTCCGTGCGAAGCCGCGGTACTTCAACAAGTTTATAAATACAAAATATATAAACAATTCCAAGTTTATTGTTGTCAAGATGTTATTTTTCTACTGATATAAATAATTATTGTAGGTACAACAGTATTAATTTTGGTTTGTTTAGTATCAAATAATCAGGAAATATATTAGTTTTTCCCGACACGTGAACTATTGACGCCTGTTTAAGTAGTCGAGTACTTAGTGTCTTCAAGAAAAACTATTCGACAATATAAAAGTAAGTAATACCCAAGTGTCATAATATAATTATTTTTACTATACATTTTAACTAAAACATTTTTCTTGAACTTTGAACTGTTAAAATTTATTTACTTATCCCTTAATAAAATATTAAAATATTGATTTTTTTATTTAAATAAATACATTAATTTGTTAATAATTCATGTTTAATAATTTTTATTTTTAGCAGGAGAGACGATGAATATACGTCAATAGTCGAAAAAATTTACATTAGAGTTCATTGAATTGTACAAAGTTTATTCCTGTTTGTGGCGTATTAAATCTCCAGACTACAGTGACCATAATAAGCGAACTAATGTTTATGAGAAGTTGTGTTCAAAATTACACGAAATAGACGAAACCGCATCTAAAAAAACAGCGGTTAAAAAAGTGGATTCGATTAGTTCAAATTTTTGAAAGGAATTAAAAAAAATTAAAGATTCCAAGAAAAGTAGAGCTGGAACAGAAAACATCTAGGTACATTCAAAAGTTATGGTACTTTGACAAATTGCAGTTCCTTTTAGATTAAGATACCCCAAAGAGTAGTGTATCTAACCTATCAGAAAGTGAATTCAATGAAGATTCATCACAAACCATGGTAAGAATTTTTTTATTTAATTCTAAGTTATATTTAGATACAATTAGAGACAAAAATAAAGAAACATACTAATAAAGTATAACAAACTACTTAAGTAGGTATTTTAACTAGGTACGTACTAATATTTTTTTCAAAAGACGCTTATTTCCAGTTCAAAAATATTGATACGAATTTCTATATTTTTCCACTTTCTCATGATAAACAACAACTTCATTAGTTAGTATTTACTCAAACACAACAGAAAAGTCATAATCCACATAACCACATACATCGCAAGACTTTCAAATAACAGATCATTTGCCAACACTAATAAATCTATCTTACATCATCAGGAACTATGCAAACTCAACAGTACTCACAAGCAGACATTACAAAAGATTCAGCTATGGACGGACTATTACGAGCAATCAAGTAATTCAGAGTTCTCAAATTAATATTTCCTTAAATTAGTTATTTGTGTTCTAAGTATATTTTATTATTTTGTACATTAAAAAAAAAGTCATTTTGGTTTAAATTTATAAGTTTGAAGTTTTTTACTATTTTATTCATAATAAAATAAATATTCTTATTAAATTAACAAACTTACTTTTAAATACTTGTCTTTGAATACGGCATAAATTGCACTACATGTTTCTGGAATAATTTCAATCAATAATTGTGGATATATGATGGTTGTAAACTTCAGGTCTTCGTAGCTGCAACCAGTAGCTAAAAAGCACAATGACGCTGTCAACCGCTCGTGAGAGGTGATCGATTTTCGTAAGTGAGTATCTTGTTTTACTACTAGAGGTGCTACTAACTTAAGTATCAAATTCAAAGTAAGTTTCTTTATTCACCCTTAAGTAATTGTGGCAGTCTTCAGGATGAAATCGTAATTCGTTTATTAAATTTATAAGGGAATATTGCGGTTTTTTCAGTAGCCAATCTTTTTTTTTTTTTATTAAGTAATCTACAATATATACAAATGTTTGACAATAAATAGGTTTTTTAAAATAGGTATATATATAAAATAACGTGTATGACGGATAAGGGAAGGCACCCATTGGTGACACCCAGCATGTGCATTAATTTACTATTTATTTATTATTGTAATGTAGTGTAATGAAATGAATGAGTATGAATGTTAAGATGAAGTTAAATTAAAAGATCTCTGTACCATTTTCTTTTTAACCTACGAATTGGGTTGTTAGGTAGTGTATTAGAAGACAATTTGAATATGAGAGGGTTCTTATTTGACTGGAGTTTATTATGATATTTATTATAGAAGTTTTTTGCGATTTTGTTAAGGGGTTCCATTCTGAGATTCTTGTGTAAGTTTTTATTAGTGACGTACCAAGGAGATGAGAAGATAAGTCAAAGACATATTGATTGAAAGGATTGCAGAGTTGCTAAGTTCAATGGTTTTGCGGCTCCCCATAGTTGGATACCCAAGTTGTGAGGCCCAAGTCAGTCTCCTATCTAGGATCAGACCAAGATATTTGGTTTCGGTGTAGACGGGAATGGCTATATTATTAAAAGTGACTGATGGGCATGTTTTCCTTTTTAGGGTGAAAGTGATGTATGAAGATTTGGACTCGTTTATTTTTATTTTCCATCTCTTAGTCCATAAATGGATTATGTTCAGGTATTGTTGAATCATACTAGAAACTATAGTTGGATTTTCGTTAGACATGGTGATAGCTGTATCATCTGCATAAGTTCCGAGTTCAGTGAAAGAGGTTTTTGGGATATCGTGAGTAAAGACATTGTATAAAAAAGGAGCGATGTCACTGCCTTGAGGAACACCGGCTTTAATATAAAAATATTTTGAGCGATTAGAGTTTTGCCGAACTACGAATGTGCGGTCGCTCAAGTAAGTAGCCAATCTTTAGTCCATTTTCTCTATTGTTTTTCGCCTTTAATTTGAAGAACTAATGCTACGGTAGTAGCTGCTTAAGCTAAATTTACGGTGCGCAAAACAGTAGCCATAATATGCGATTAAATAGACAAATACGTTGACAACGTAAAAAAAACTAAATTTAAACTAATCAACATTATGTAGTATGTGGTCGACTTCAATGTTCATTTTTAAAAAAACGGTCCGTGTTCGAACACCGTACAACAATACAAAATGGATAGTGTGTGTCGTTCATCAGTGTACGAACTAAAAATGTGTGAACCACACCGTACACCGTCAAATAAAACCGTAGTGTGACCGCCTTTACTTAGCGCATGTCCATCGTAAATTCCGTGAATCGTACAGTTATATAATTTGATTTTTATGATATAATAAAATAAGATGAAGTTTGCTAAAAATACCAATACGATAGTAACTCTTCATGTAACTTCAAAAATATTATAAAAATCCGCTTGATTTGTTTAAATTGATTTTCGTTTGTGACTTTTTGTTTACATGAGTGTTCAAAATACAATTTAATTTCAATACAACATACAGTTCTATACAGTTCAATAATATACATGGTATATAAAATACAGTTGATAAATTTTAAAGTATATTTTTTGTTGAATATTAATTATTTAATGAATTGTATACATTTTAAAATTAAATAAATTTAATAAATAATAAACATACAATTTTGTTTGTATATTCTTAGTGCATATCATTTCGGGCCCAAGTTATGACATAGTCGACTTGCGACCGATATCAGGACGCAAGTTACCGGTCGAATTCATTACCTGCAGAATATTCCTTTTTTTGGGACGCAAGTAATATGCAGTCACAGTACCTATGCACCTATATTTTTTTTAATTATACTCTTATAATTTGAAAAAATTATATATTTTTTTTTTTTTGTAAAACATAACATAGTATAACATTTATAAATTAAATTTTTTTATATTTATACTTTCAACATTATTACAGTAAACTACATATTTTTAAGTAGACCATATATTGGTAGATAGCCAAAACAATTAAAAACAGGGTTAAATATTTATCTATTTCTACAGAAATAGATAAATACTGCATTTTAACTATATTATGTACATTTAATTTTACGCATTTTATAAAAGTATAATAAATTAATAGCTTGTAACTGTAAGGGATAGAAAAATAATTCCAGTAATAAGAACAATTATACAGTTTTGTTTTCACCAAGAAGAAAAATTTTTTTTCTAAGTTTAGATTTCTTTTATTATCAACAATTTATCTTTTTTATAATAATGTAAAATATAAACAATAAAACAAATAAAGGTTTTTTTTTTATATTATTATATGGTTTTTGAGACTGGGTGTAGTTGTACTGAAGTAGTTGCATCTATGCATATTATATTTCAAACAGATGATAAGAATATATTCAACACTAAAATAAGTACTTATTGAACTGACAATGTATATTTTCTAATATCAAGACAAAGTTTTATTGGTTTTACAAACATTTATAGTATAAGACTTAAATTTAAAATATTAATAAACAAAAACATTATGGCATCTTATTTTTGGAACAAAAAAAATCATATAAAATTAATATTTCACGTTAAGTAATAAGACTAAACTAATTAGAAAATATTAATTGATCATAAAGTTAATGTACCTTCTATTTTATTTAAAATCAAATACCAATGATAGTAAAATAATTTAGTTTAAAAAAATAATATGATGAGTATACATTTATGATTGGTTACAAGTAGTTCTAGTAACTGCAGAAGATCCATCCACAAACTTAGTTCTGAATAATACATTAGCATTGCTAAACATACCATCTTTGAGGGATACTATAATAAATTGGGATTGTTTAAAATGTTTCTTTAACATTTTTCCTATATTCTGAGTATGAGAAAGATCTAGAGCAGCATCTACTTCATCCAAAATATAAAGAGGAACAGGATTAAATAGCAACATAGCTAATACTAAAGATAAAGCAACCAAAGATCGCTGGCCTCCACTAAGTTCATCTAAGCTTTCCTTCCACAGTCCATTAAATGCCACACGGATCTCTAGTCCTGCAGTAATATCATCTTTATTTACTTGTTTTAAACAAGCCTCGGCACCAGGTAATACACTACTGAATATTTTTCCAAACTCTAAATTAACATTGTCAGAAGCATTTTGTAAGTGTTTACGTTTTTGCACTTCTAATTCTTCAAGTATCTCAATTATTTTATTTTTATCCTTCTCAATTGCCACCAATTTTTTTTCTAAACGTTTATACTCTAGGATGTGCTTTTGAAAATTATTCAATTTGCTTGGATCCACGACTTTTGATATTTGATCATATCTAGCTTGCAAACCATCAAGTACTTGCTTACATTCATCTATAAACAATAAAAAAATACACCAAATTGATTTTTAATTATTCATAAATGTGAGTAATATAAATATATGTTTATTTGGTTCATTGAATATAAAAAACATCAAAACAATCCAGCAATTTCATAATAATAGTAATTCAATTTTTAGTATTGGGTATTTTGACATTTAAAAAAAGTATTCATTGTTTTATTTATATTTATATAGATAATTGACAATTTAGCTTAACATTTTTAAAATTTAAAAACCGAAATATTTGAATATGGACATTTTCATTATCATAATTTTATTAATTATAATTTATAAGTAAAGAATACTTATAATTCCCTTAAATAATATACTATAATCTGTGATTTTCATAACCAATTAACCAATGGATATAATAATACTCATAAAACATATTTAACCTAAACTAACTAGTTTTCAAATCAATAGATTATTAATACATATGATTTATAAATACATTTTTAAAAAATTAACAAACTAATTTATCCTTTGATTTATTCCAGTAGAGTTTTTAAATTATAATTAGTCCTAAAATATGTAGACACATAACTAGATAAAGCTATGCACATTCTAATTCAGACTGGAAAGTTATTTATTCGAGATTAATAATCATGTAAATTTGGTAAGACTAATTAAATAATATATGATATATAATTATTAGGGCTCGGATGTTTATGCACTTAAAACTACTGTAATATGCATGCATTTATGCACTAAAAAATTACGAAATATGCAATCAAAATATGCGCTAAATATTATAAAATATACATTTTTAGCCAATAAAAACACCAAATTATGCACAAAAAAACATTTTTTAAATTTGTATAGCATTTTATTTACTTTATTATTTATTATTTATTATTTATTACATTATTAGCATTACACTGTACTACTATAGTTTTTTTAATTTGATCAAATTTGTAACTACACCTGTTATCACTAAGTAAATTTTTGTAGTGTGAAAAACTTCGTTCTACATCAAATGATGTTATTGGAACATATTTAAAGAATGCAAGATCCTTAACCTTCAATTTTTTTTTATTCAAATTATCAGAGTAGTAAAATGCCGCCTCTAACCACGTTCCCTAATGCGTGGTAGATTGTAGTTACCACACCTATAAAAATTATATACTCAAATTGTGGAATTAATTGTATAGTTCGTTAATTTAAATTGTTTTTTAAAAAATGTACTGAAATATGCATTTTTATTTTTAAAATCCTAAAATATGCAATTAAAAAACAAAATTATTAAATATGCAAAATTAAAATAGTATTATTTGATTCAGTAGAATATGAATTACATTTGTATCCAGGTTAGCAATAAATTGGATAAATAAAAAAAATATGCAATTTTATAAACATCTGAGCCCTAATAATTATGAATCAATAAACTTGAGATTTCTTAAGTAATACACAACAAATATGAAATTGAAACATAGAAATATTCTCACACAAAAATAAAAAGAAACAAAAAAAAGTACAAAAACACATATTGATTTGCACTCAAACCAAGCAACTATGTATACCCATGTTTTCTAATCATATGTTACTTACTCATTAGTAAAAACTATGAGGATTAATTTTAGATTGTTTTAAAAATAGATTTAAATTATCTGAAATAGTACAAAATATAATTTATTATTTTCTCAGTTGTTACAATACAATAAAACTAAATTTTTAATTTGAGTTTTGAATTTAAGTTTATGTTTTGTACAGTATGCTCTGAATATATGTAAACAATAAAATACATTAACAGTGGTTTCCTAGGATGTAATTTAGGGGAGGGCATTAGAGCAATCCCCCCTCAAAGTCCACATTGTAATAATTATGAATTAAGATATATGTTATATATCAATTTACAGCACATAATTTAACTCCCAATCATTTTGAATAAGATTAATCATCCCTTTCCTCTAAAATAAGCATATATTTATGTGTATAGGGTTGCCAAATGGTCCATCACAAATTAATTTATATTTTCAGTAATTTGTTATGAAAACTATAGTTAGAACCACTTTGAATTTTTTTATGAGATACAATGTATCCTAAAATATTTTTAAAATGAGAAGCCAGTACATTATTTCATAGATTATTTAAAAAAAAATAAATAAAATAAATACAATACTTGACATAAATATTTAATATATTGTTTAATTAATGTTAAGTCATATAAATTTGGAAGTCTTCACATACTATACTAACTAAAACATGCCTATACTAACTAGTAATACTCGGGTAAATATCTCAGTCAATCTTACTACCTATCTTATTGCATTATGTTATTATGTGCAGAACCTCGTCTTGTACTCAACAGACTCCAACAACCAATAATAAACTAAATCAAATTAACATGCTATTTTACAATATATTATCTTACCAGAATTAAAATGTGAAAAATCCATTTTTTCAGCAATATGTTTTTGATCATCACTCAATTTATTACCAAGTTCAATAAATATTTGTTCTAGCTCATTTACCATTTTTTTATCTTTTGAAAGTTTCATATCCATTTCTAAAATAGTTATTTTACAATTTTTCAATTCAGTACTTAATTCCTTTTTTTTGTTTATACATAATTTAATTTCATCGGAAGTTTTAAGTGCTTTTTCTTTTTGTGATTCATATATTTTAAAAACTTCATTAAAAATAATTGTAGCTTCATTTAGTGTTAACATTAATGTAGTTAGCTCACTTTCAAATTTTTTCTTCTGAGTATCCAATACTTTTAACTGATTTTCTTGATCTTGCATTTGATTAGTTAAGTCTTTAATTTCAAGTTCCAATTTATTAAAGTTGTTTTTTTTTTCATCATATTCTGCTTTGTTGTTCTTTATTTTAGCTAAAATACTTTTTCTAGTTTTTTCTGCATCACTAAGTTGTTGTTTTAAAATATTTTTAGCATTCTTCATTTTAGTTTCCAAATTAATAATTTTAGCTTGTAATTGTTTTTCATTAGCTTTACCTTCTTCATACTTTTTCTCCAGCTCAAATATTTGCTGTTTAATGCTATTTACTTCAGTAACTTGTTGATGAGGCTGTCCCAAATGTACATCTGATCTAATTTTATCTAATTCTACTTGAACTTTAATATGTTTTTCTTGAAGTTGTTGAACTTTATCAGACAAATTAGCCATTGCAACAAGTTTATTATCTATATGTGCAAACTCAGATTTTTTTGTTTTAAGCTGTGATATAATTTCATCTTGATTAGCTATTCCTTGTAAAACAAGTCTTTGTGTGATAGTTCCACCAGTAATATTACCAGCTGGATTGTAATGATCACCCTCTAATGTAAAACACTGCCTATTAACTCTGCTGTCAAAACAAACTTTAACAGCAACTTCTTTAGTAGTACAAACTAATGCTTGTCCAAATATCCATTGTATGGCTTTAGAATATTTTTGATCATATTTAATAAGTGATATTGCAGAAAAAACTTGATCAGCTCCTCCAATTTGTTGAGCTATTTTTAAAACATTTGGTGGCAAACTATTAGATTTAATTTTATTTAATGGAATAAAATTTACACGATTTGAAAATTTATTAGCTTCTAAAATATCTTTACCAACAGAATCATCTTCAACAACAACAAAGTATAGTTTACCACCAGCTATAGTTGTTAATGCAAGTTCATACTTAAAATCAATTGGTTTAAATAAACGACAAACAAGTCCATGTACTTTTTGACGATCAAAATTTGGTTGAGGGTCATTATAATTAAAAAATAAACTAGAATTGTTTGATTCAAATGATTCTATTTTTGAACTTAACTCTCGTATATCTCTGAGTAAGCCATCACGCTTTGGTCTTAGATTATTATGCTGACTTAATTCTTCATTAGTTTTCAGATATTCATTCTTAATTTTTTCATATTCTTTTTCTTTAGCTGTTAATTGAGCTAGTTGTATATCATATGTTTTTTGAGCTTCTTTCATACCAGTTAAATGTTGATTCAATTTTTTTTTTAATGCATCAATTTTTATTGCATATTGTTGATTTTCTGATTCCTGATTTTGTAATTCTAAATTAAATTTATTAATATTCTCTTGCACCGAACCATTGTCTTCATCTGCATATATATTTCCAGAATTTAAAGATCTTATTTTTTTATCAATTTCTTCTAAATCAAATGTGTCTTTCTTGTTATTTTCTTCAAAACCTGCATTCACCTTATTAAAATTTTCAATTTCTTTTTGTTTTGCTTCAAGGTCTTTTTTACTATTCGTAATATGTTTTTGTAGATCAATAATTTTTTGAACCTCAACTTTTATATTATTTTCATATACATCTACTTTAATTTGAATAGATTTTTTTTCTTTTTCTTTTTCTTCTAATTCTTTACTAAATTTAGATACTTTTTGTCCACACTCTATTTCCTTTATCTTCTCTAATTCCTCTATTTGATTGGTAATTTCATTAACTTTTTTTTGTAAATCATTATAATCTTCATTTTTTTTCCCAAATTTATCTTCTAAGGCTTTTAATTTAGAATTTTCTTTCCTAAATGCTGTACCGTATCGAATATAGTTCCAGTAGTCAAGTTTTTCTTTTTGTTTTTTTAATTGATTTTGAACTATATTTAATTCCTCTAGCATATGTTTTTCTTTATTAATAGTATCTATAGCTGGGAGAATCTCTTCATCAGCAACATTTCGCATTTCTCTTAATTTATTATCTTTCTTACCAACTGCCATTTCAAGACTTTTCTTTTTAGATTCATACATATTAGTACCTGCAGCTTCTTCAATCATTGATAATATTTCTACAGGCTTCATATTTAATACTTTTGTTATTCTACCTTGCATAATGATAAAATGAGGATTGTTTACATTCATCTGCAGTGAATTAAAAAAGTCCATAATTTTCTTAGCTGTTACAGTAATACCATTAATTCTGTAAGTATTTTTAGAACCCATTCCTACTTCACGAGAAATAACAATTTCATCATTGTGACTATAATGAGGGGCAGATCTTGATTTATCTTTATTGTCAAATGTTATAGTAACAGTAGCTGTTTGAACACCAGCTTGTCCACTTTTGTAAATGACATCTTGCATAGTTGAAGCTCGTATTGTATTCATAGCTGATATTCCCAAAGTGAAACAAATTGCATCCAAAATATTTGACTTACCAGTACCATTTAGACCAGTTATAGCATTAAATTTTGGATCAAAATCTTTCAACTCAACACGTTTTCCATACGACTTAAAGCCGTCAATAACTAAGGATTTAATATGCATAGTTTATCTGCAAAAAAAAAAAAATTTATATATATACATAAACATTAATCTTAAAATAATTTAAAGCTATTTATAGAAATCATAATGATAATGTATGTTAAATACATTAAATACAAATAGTTAAATACTAATAAAATAATATTATTATATTGTATATATATATTTATATATGTTGTATATCAGTGCTTAGCGGTGAGTGTTGGCAATTAACATGTCACTCTTTACCAATTATTTTGGTGAATGTTGTCTATTTTTACAAATACCTCACATTGCAAACATTTACTGATGACTGTTGACATAATATATACATAAATTATTTAGTAAATGTTGACTTACGGATAAAAATGATGTAATTACAATTATTTTACAATTAATAATTAATAAAAAATACAAACGGACAGTTAAATAATAAATATATTTAGATTAATTGATTAAATTTAATTTGTTCACTATATTATAATTTATTATGACCACATTTTTTTTTCTTATGTACAATAACTTCACATACATTAATTGTACTTTTTAGCACTTTAAACAAAAATAATTATCTTGCTTTTTTTTAGTTAAACTTTAATTTTAGTTAAACTTTTCATAAAAAATTACTTTCACAATTTCCATTTTTATAATTGATAATGTTATGCATAAAAATTAAAATAAAATAAAATTAAAATTAAAAAAAAAAATACTTATAAATTGTGAAATATTATAGGTTTATTTAAAATCAAAAAATTAAAAATAATTCTAAAAAAAAAATGATCAATAACCAGTAATCATCAAACTCATCATCAATTTCTCTTTAATTTTCACTATTATAACTATGCAATTCGGGTAAACTATTATGAAATCAAATTTAGTGTCATAATCATCACTATCATTTGATTCTACATCTTCATCTAGTTCTTCCAGTACAGTGCTTATTTGATTATCACGAGACATTTGAATGCGATATAAATTTATTCTTATAATATATATAACGCTTCAAGTGTAGTCAACATTTACCAAACAATATTTGTTAATGTGCACAATCACCTGTATATGACCGCATAAAGACTATTTTGGAAATATTCACTATGATTTTTTATGTATGCTAACATACACTAATGACAGTCAACATTCACCGACTGCGGTTATAAACCTTAACATATAAATATAATGTATTGTATACAATTTAAATATTCTGTAAAGATAATTCAAAATATATTTTTTAATATTCTTTAGAGATATTGGTCCATTTTAGTTAGCTAATAACTTTTCCCTTACATTAGTATCAACATTCTTCAATATAAAAAATTACATAACAATTCAATTTAATCAATACCTAACTAACATTTATTCAATCATTTTTTATAAAACAATTATCTCCCATGATTAAATTAACAATATCTTCAAGTATGCATAAATGTGTATTAAAAGAAATATCCAAGAATACCTAGAATATTAACAGATAGGAAAATAGTTCATAATCCTGGATTTCAAAACAATATTATAAAAGTGTAAAATACATTACTATTATTGTGCCAAATTAAATTAATAACAAGAATAATCTATAATAGAGTAATAAAATATTATTGGTTTGGATAAACCTATTATTTAAATAAAATTATATCTAAATAAGGTATATATTATGAAATTAACAATATATTTTTTTTTTTATAAACAATTTCTTCACAAAAATAATCATAATCTATAATTGAATATTATGCAAACATAGATATTGGTTGGTTTTAAAATTATATTTTTAAGCAAACCAAAAAAGTTATTATATTACACAAGAAAAATAAAATTGGAAGAATCAGACAAATAATTATAACCTAATAGGTTTAGAATAATATCTGTACCCCAGAGGCAAAGAAAACCATGTCCATTTTTGAAGAAATTTAGTTAGCTTTATATCCTTGTACATTTTTTGCTCTATATAAAGGTATAAGGCACAACATCTAGTTATCAAAAGTAATGTAAATAAAGACCAATAAAGCAATTTAAATTAGTCACAAAGAAAAACAAATTTTTAGACGAAAATAATTGAAAATTTGACTTCCTGTAAAATTACTATTTTGTGACACGGTTTCCTTTACCTCCGGGATACAGATATTTAATGAATATATATTATTTAACTATAAAAGTTACTATGAGTATTTTATACATTTATTTTCTACAATGTTATATTAATCAAATAAGAAATATACAAAAAATGTAAAAGTGAATTAAAAATATTTTTATTTTTTTTTTTGGTAAATGGTTAAGTTAATATAATTTGTATATTTATTTATATTTATTAGACAGTTGTATTCCTTTTAGAATTAAATCCAGGAACTATCAAAAGTAATAAAATTAGGCATTATGGAAACCTAACTTAACCATACTATGGAAACCTAACCTAACCATACTACACAGATACAAATTATTTAATACTTCAATTCTGACTGCATATATAAGAATTTATACTTTGCATTTTATACTTAGGTAACATGTTACCTAAGTCATAATAAATATAAATAAAAATTCAACATTTCAACATTGAACAATAAGGTAGGTAAAATTTCAAATGAAAAAAAATTCAAGAAAAAAACGAGATTTCCATCAAATCTTATTAATTAAAAAGTTTTAAAATTGATCGAAAAATGTTGTAATTCAAAGATTTAAATTTAAAATGCCTATATGCTTGGCGTATAAATTTGATAAACAGAGGTTAACAGAAAATATGACTTGAAACAAAGAGCAGTTCTTCAGATCATATACAGACACAAAAATTAAAAAATTTAATAGAATTTAAAATGAAAACAAAATAAAAACAGGAAGTAACAATTAATATTGCTGTTTATTTGTTTTCTGCTTGTTAGATAAAGATATTATACTAAATGAATGGGTGACAAATCTACAAGATAAAGTTAAAGTAAATGATGAATCAATCATATCCAATATATAAATTGTAACAAAAATTAGGTATAAAAAACACTTTTACAATACATTAATATAAAAAATGATTTAAGGCATTAATAATCCCATCTCCTACAATTCAAAATAGTCTGTTGCGTGCCAACCGTTTGATCAGTTGATTCCAGTACTAATGTCTAGTCAACGCATAGATGTAGGTGTAGTAAAGAAATAATTAAGACTCTTTATGATAAGTTAATTTATTAAACTGTTAAAAATTATCCTAAGTACTATAAATTAAGTTAGCTGTAAATATTCTAAGTCCAAATGTTTAAACTATAGAAATTATTGTAAGTCCTAACAATGAACTTTATAAAATTAGTTGGAAATATTTCTAAGTCCAGACCATGACATACACTGACATGAAGGTGCTCAGTGCAGCATAGCCAAAACTCGTCTAAATAGGGCCTGTTCGGGACCCCCTTTTATATCTGATATATGCAAATGTGTGTGTATATGAAAAATGATAATAAAATATGACAAATATGATGAGTTGTTATTGATTCTGTGTGTGCGCTCTAAAATATGATAATTCTTTATTGATTCTGTATGTGTGTAAGATCTCTCATAATTATTGATGCAGAGATACAGGATGTGGTTTAATATTTATGACAGTTATTATATGTATCATTATATACTCTTACATACCCATATGTAGTGCAAGGTAATTGTGATATTATTGTTAACTAAACAATCAAGCTATCATGTGGTTTCGATATTGATGAGAACCTCCTTATATTGTATTTTCTATTATATGATTACGCAGGACGCGACAAATCAAAGGACGAAAAAAAAATGATTTATTATTAGAAAATCAAAAATAAAAACAGAAAAAAATTCAAATTAATATGTATGACTAAATAAGGTAAAATTAAATATCTTATTAAATAGAAATAGAACAAATAGAAAAATGTTCTAAAGAATTCTAGTTGATAATAACTAGTACTTACTTTAAGTATAACTTAAGTATTTAAATACAAAGCAGACTTAAGTGTTTGATTACATGCTGAAAACAGTACATAAGAATATAAATAATTAAAACATAAAATATAAGGAAAACCTATTTTAAAATAAATAAAATACCATGTAAATTCACAAAAAAAAATTAATAATCAAAACCCATGGATCAAAAACAACGAAGTGCACGAATTTATGGCATATTCACAATAACGTACAATAACTCATTAAGTTAAAATTGAATTAGTGTAACTATTAACAGTACAATTCTAATATCAAATAACAAAAGGATTATTGTTTCTTATCTAATATCTTTTAACCGCCAATTTCCTTGCGTGCTTATACAGTTTATGCATCAACTATAATTTGATAACAGTACGAACAAAACAACATAGATATTGGTGACACTGATGATTACGCCAAATGTTGAACTAATTATTAAAATTATCAATTTTTTTTTTTTTTTAAACCAGTCAGTTCTTGTGCAACTAATACTTTAGATATTTTTAAAAATATTTTCGATAAGATGTTCTTATTTTGTATAACAGTAAATTTACATTATTATAACCGCTTGTCAATTTTAATGTGGTAGTATAGTATCGACTATAGACACTAATATCCAGAGGCGTTTTTAGTGGGGGGCGAAGAGGGCGATCGCCCCTCCCTGAATCCGTATTTAAGGAATCGATTTTATGTGAGATACACATTTAAATTTTTTTTTAATGTGGATCATTTTATAACGATACTTAGTTTCCATACTTAGTGAAAAATCAGATAAAACACAAGCGTAACTTTCAAAACACAGACAGGTGTTAAAAAAAAAGTCGATTCTAAGTAGATCCGGCATTAGATTAAAAAAAAATTACAAATATTAAGGATTCACCTGATTTAAATATTACCAAACATTTTACTTGTATATTTTGAATCTGAATCAAAGAAAAAATTTGAGTCGCCCTAGAAGTAAGTCTAAATACGCCCCTGCTAATATCCTATTGCCATACCCGTAACGTATGTTCCGCTAGCAATATTTGATGAGGAAGCCCAGTGGTTTCTAAAATTGTTACATTATTGTCAATCATCAAATTGTATGTTAAGTTGCATATCATAGACCCAAAAATAGGATGCATGATTCGGGTGAGATTTTAAAGTGCGATACCAACGACTTTGATTATTATTTTAATATACTTAGAAAGTCGAGGACGACTCGTTTAAAAAATTAAAACGTAGGTAATTACGTGGTTAATTGAAAACAAGTCTTAAAACGAGGTCAGTGAGCTTGCGAAAATGTCCAGCCCCAGAAATAGGGTGCATGGTTCAAGCGACGTTTCACCCCCTATAATTTGCTATTTTCGTTTTGGACATAAAGTTATGCTTCAGTTTTTGTGACTATCAATTATTTGCTGATGATCTAAAATGCATACTAATATATATATATTCAATTGATGACTCAATTAAAATATAGAATGATCTTAACAGTCACAGCATTTGGTTCAGTAATAATGGCTTAAAATTAACCTCATCGAAATGTGTCAAACTGTGGTTTTACTACTCCCAAATTAAACTAAACTCTGAGTACTACTTTATTATTAGTGATAAACTCAATGAAGTCAACAATATTATAGATATTGTAGTGGTATTTCAATAGAACATAATGTTTTCATATCATATAGAACAAATCCGTTCCAAATCTCAAAAAAAAATCTTGGTTTTTTAATTAGAAATACAAAAAAATTCAATGATGAAGTCTGTTTCAAAACACTGTGTCTCGATTATTAGGCTATTACTTAAATATTTTTCAATATTTTGGAATCCGACGCAAATTGGTTTGATTGAATCACTTGAACGTGTTCAAAGAATATCTGACCTGGGCGGCCAAATATTTATCTATTAAGGGGGGGGGGGGGGCCCCGCTGTAGTTTCTAGCCCGGTGTAATATTTTATCAATGAATATTATTATTTTTTTTTTTTTTTTTTATTTAAATTTTGTACTATAATACGGCCAGAGTTTGATGACATAATATTTTGTCAATCAACGAGAACTGATAATTAATAGATTTATAGTGAAAAATGTGTTAAGAAAAAAGTGGATCTATTTTTTGGTGGGGATAGGGGGTGTGTAAAAATATGGTTGACGCAAAACGCAACATTTTTAAATACGGCCCTGCATACAGACTGTATTATTTATGAATTATTATATTATACTTGGGCTTTTACAAGTGTGAAAATTGTTTTAAAAATAAAATCAGTTCACGTTCGGCGCCCGTCGCGTACACACCGCCTCTCACGCTCCGCTCTTGTGTTTCATTATTTTTATTTTTCCGTCATTAACATTTACTATGTCAAATATGTAAAATCCACTAATCGACATTTACACTTTTAGTTTAACTTATGTGAAATTACAAATTTCAATATTGTCTCTATAGACAGAGCCCAAATTAGAGGGGGCTAGGGGGGCTACAGCCCCGGGCCCGATATTATTTGGGGCCCCGGGCCTCTGTTGATAATTAAATATTTAAGTGGTATTGTAAATTTTTAAGATATTATTTCTTTCGTTTAAAATTTACAAAACAAATTAGTCATGTTTCGTAATGGATTTAAAATTATCATCTAATCGATAAAATAAAGCTATTACATTTTGAGATAAAGTTGGCCAAAAACACTACCATTTATATTTACCCATTCTATCAGCTAATCATCAACGTGTATACCTATAGGCCAAGTTTAAACACTTGTATGATAACACGAATCGCAACAGTTGTAAACTGTGCATTATTTAAAAATATCTCGGGTTTTTGCGAACGCTCAGTTTATCTAAACGCGGGTATATACTATACAGTTTACTGTTTACCTCTACCAAATCGTTAAGGTATTTTCTATTACATACATTTTGTTGGTGAGTTTTACATTAATATTACAATAGGTACGTTAGTTAGCATTCTGTTGACTGTCGTGACTTGTGATTTTAAATTGGTTTTTAGTAGAGTTCGTGAGTTTTGTTCGTTGTTAGTATATAATAAATACTATTGAAATTTGAAAATGTCTGACAAAAAAAAAGGATTTATCTCAGTGGTTATGCAAAACGAAAATTAAAGAAGGAGGCTGAAGATGCAGTAAACAAATTACCTAAATTAACGAATTTTTTTAAAACTTTCAACAGTGTGAACGAAGTTGAAGTAGAAGCTAATACAAATAATAAAGATGATTTGGTTCTAAATAATAGTTATCTTGATGTTGAAAACATAAATAACGATAGTAATAGTATTATGTCTAATACAATAATCACTTCAAACTATGATGCTTTAAATTTTTCTGAAAATGAATCTAACAATTGTTCTGCAGTAGAAAATTCAGTGATTGCTACTAATTTTAATTCGGATGTTCATAACATTGAAATTGATATTGAATCATATCAAGATCCGGGAATGTGGCCTTTAGTGTTAATCAACACTTTTATAGAATTATGCTGCTTAAAAGGACCAGCATTTTTCAGAATATGGATCCAAAAAAATTTCATTCTTCCGAAAAAAATTTAAAAATTATAATCGCTCATTAAATATCTCATTATTCGAATTAAAATTGCCTAATGGTGAAATACACTCACGTAAATGGCTTATGTTTTCTGAACCAACTGGCAACGTTTACTGTTTTGTTTGTAAACTATTTAATAAATCAAATAATTCAAGTTTTATTGATCCTGGTTTTAACAATTGGAAAAAATCTTACGAAAAAGTTAAAGAACATGAAAATAGTGCACACCATCGTAAATCAATGTTAATTTGGTTAGATCGTGTAAACACTAAACATCGTATAGACAAAACTATGGCCGAAAAAATGTTGAATGAAAAAAAGTATTGGGTTAAAGTGTTGCACCGTGTAATATCAGTTGTTAAATTTTTGGCTGTTCGTGGGTTAGCATTTGAAGGTAATGACTCACGGTTGGGTTCTCCGAGTAATGGAAATTTTCTTGGAATTCTTGAAGTTATTTCCGAATTTGATCCCTTTTTAAAACAACATATGAATGAACGCGCTAATAAAGGATCAGGCAATGTATCTTATTTTTTGATGCGTATTTGTAACGAAATAATTGACCTAATGGCAAATGAAGTTTTATTAGAAATAACTAAACAGTTACAAGAAACTAAATACTTCGGTCTAATTTTAGATTCTACTCCAGATAGAGCACATAGAAATCAATTTGCTGTTGTTGTTAGATACTGTTATAAAGGGTTAGTTGTTGAGGGATTCTTAACATACATTCATATATTAAGCCATACTGGTATTTCAATGGCCGAAGAAGTAATACATTTTTTGGAAAATAATAATATTAATTTGCAATATTGTAGAGGTCAATCATATGACAATGCTAATAATATGACTGGTATATATGAGGGTTTACAGGCTCAAATAAAAAAAAATATGTAGTGTTGCTTTATTTGCACCTTGTTTTGCTCATTCCCTAAATTTAGTAGGGTCACATGCAGTGAAAAGTTGTTTAGAAGCAATCAATTTTTTTGGTGTTGTTCAAAAATTGTATGCATTTTTTGCGGCCTCGACACATAGATGGAATTTGCTTTTGACTGGTCTAAAATCGGAAGAGAAAAATAAAATAATCGTTTTGAAAACATTAAGTAATACTAGGTGGAAGTGTCACACGGAGTTTTGTAAAGCTATTATCTTAAATTATGACCGAATTATATGTACATTAACAGATATTTTTGAAAATTGTAATGAAAAACAAGAAAATCGTCATGAGGTTAAATCAATGAAAAATAAAATGATAAAATTTAAAACAGCTTTTATGGCAGTTATGTGGAGTGAAATTTTATCGCAGTTTAACAGTGTTAGTAAATACCTTCAAAAACCGGGAATAGATTTATTTACAGCCGTAAATTTATTAAAAGGATTAAAAACTTATGTTAGTTCATTAAGAGAGAAGTTTATATATTTTGAGAATAAAGCAAGAGTATTATCAATAAATATTCTGCCCTGTGTTGAAAAAAGTGTAAGAAAAAAAAATTCTCGGATGGTGCAATAGAAGGAAATTCAAACTATTGTGGTATAAGAAAGTTAGAGATTGATACTTTTTACGTTATTATTGGTGGTTTAGTTACAGAACTTGATAAAAGATCAAACGCATATGATAATGTTTGTAATATTTTTGGGTTTATTACAAAATTTGGTTCAGAATTATTATCAGAGACTTCTGCCGACATATTCATTAGCACATTTAAAGATGATATTGATACAACTAATATAAAACAAGAGATTGT